CTCATCTTCCTCCTCTTTTTCTTTTTCCTCCTCCTCTTCTTTTCCTTATCTTCCTCCTCCTCCTCTTCTTCCCCCTCTTCTCCTTCTCCTTCTCCTTCCTTCTTCTTCTTCCTCCTCCCCTATTCCTCCTCCTCCTCCTCCTCCTCCTCCTCCTCCTCCTCCTCCTCCTCCTCCTCCTCTCCTTCTCCCCCCTCCCTCCTCCTTTCCCACCTTACTAGCAACTTGGGAATCTTCATCCAGCTGTCCTCTTCCTCCCCCGTCCCCCTCCCCGACCATCCTGTCCCTCTATGGGGGCAATTGAGAAAGACCCCAAGAGACGCCCCATTTATGGGCTGCCTGTCCCCCTCCCTCCCCTCCCTCCCCCTCCCCCTCCCCCCTGCAGGTCCCACTCGGAGGACATTGTCCGGATCCAGTTCTTCCCCACCCAATCTCGGGGCGTGATGGACCACAGGGAGAAGTCGTGGAAAGGGAGCAGCCGGCCTGCCTCGGGACGATTCCTGACCGTCAGCCGAGATGGAATCTTGCATTACTGGAGCGACGCCTTTAAGATGCTCCGGACTGTATATGTAGGTGGCTCCGTTGCTTATGGGGGGGAGGGTGGGGGGTGTCCAGGAACCCCCCACCCCTGAGGAAGCCCCCACCCCCTTGGTATCCCTTGGCACTTATGGATGGAAGCTGAGCAAGGAGAGAAGCAACCAGGAACGAAAGACACGTTTCCTAGCAGTAAAGACAATTCACCAGTGGAACTACTCGCCACCAGAAGTTGTGGCTGCTCCATCACACTCCTGTTTCTTTTTTTTAACTTTTTATCTTTCAAAAAATATCTCTTTCGATGAACGGTGTGGTTCAAGGTTTTTACAATTCCATACAAACATGACCTTAGTTGCTTATTCATCTTTCACATTTAATTTCATATCATATCATTACATTTATAATTTCTATACATTTTCTCAAAAAAAAAAGCTCTTATATTCTTCACACTTATTATACTGTATATATTTTCGATTCACATCTTAGCTTCTTTCATTTTTCTTCAGATATTCTCGTGCCTCGTTTATATAATATTTAAAAATCTTATTTCTTTGTCCTGCACTCATTGTACTTATACTTTTTATCTGTCGCATTTGCAAATTCGTGGCGTGCTCTCAGTTCATTGTTCAAAAAAATTCCATCATAGTTTTAATAATTCAAAGATTCAAAGATCTCCCCCTTCAACTACTAATTTGAGTGTACCACCCCTTTGTCTTATACATCATTCAATTAACTCAGGGATTTGGACTAGATGACCTCCAGGGTCTCTTCCAACTCTGTTATCCTGACAGAACAATAAATCAATGGAGCGACTTGGCTCCAGAAGTTGTGTCTGCTCCGTCACTGGAGGCTTTTAAAGAAGAGACTGGACAGTCACTTGTCTGAAATGGTGTACAATCTCCTGCTTGAGCAGGGGGTTGGGATAGATGACCTCATAGGTCCCTTCCAACTCTGTTATTCTGTTCACGTGTTCTCCACTAGAAAGCAGGATAAGAAGCAACGGATGGAAGCGAATCAAGGAGAGAAACAACCAAGAACTAAGGAGAATTTTTTCTAACAGTTGGAACAATTAATGGAATGACTTGCCTTCAGAAATTGTAAATGTTCCACCATTTGAGTCCCAAAGGTGTTTTCCTTTTCAACTGGACTTTCTGGTTTTTCTTTGAAGATGTTTCACTTCTCATTTCAGAAGCTTCTTCAGCTCTGACTAGATAATAGAGAATGGAAGGATTTAGACTCCTTGCAATCATTTGCGTCTCTCAGGTGACCCCGAGGACACAGATAAAACCTCCAAGTGGCCTCAACGACCCTCCAAAAGGATGCAAATGACCAGCTGTCTGCAAGGAGCATAAATCCTTCCATCCTTCACCCTCCAGTCAGAGCTGAAGAAGCTTCTTGGAGGAGAAGTGAAACGTCTTCCAAAGAAGAAAAAATAAGAAAGTCCAGTTTTTTTCTGAAAAAAATAAATAAATGCACCTTTGGGACAATCATGACCTGAAGGAGGGAGAATCTCCGTAGAAATTCATCACTGGAGGTTTTTAAGAAGAGATTGGACAGCCGTTTGTCCGGAATGATATGGGGTCTCCTTCTTGGGCAGGGGGGTTGGACTAGAAGACCTCCAAAGTCCCTTCCACCTCTGTTATTCAACTCTGTTCTATCTTCTCATTCCTCACCATAGCTGGACCAGACTAAGCGACGTCACAGTTTGAAGCTCTGGGTGATTGACATGTTGTGCCTGCCGAACCTTAACCTTTTGGCGGTTTCCACCACAGACCAGGATATTGGTAAGCTAATTGCCATGATGACCCCTTGGTTTGGGTCCCTGGGGGGGCGGGGGGAGGCTGTGTGTGGGTCTCCATGTGCTAAAAATAACCAGGCTTTCCCCTTGAAGAATGATGGCATTTCCTCTAATAAACTAATGGTGTCCAACTGTTGGAAGAAAATATCCTTCTGGGTTCAGGTCCAAGTGGGGAAAAAAGACACTGGAAACATGGAGGCTGTTTGGAAAGATGGTTTAATGGTGGACAGGAGGACCACGTGGCCTGGAGCTCCAGAGTGAGAAAGGAAGGATGATCCCATGCTTCAAGGTGAAGGAAGAGATCAAGAAAAAAGGGCTGAGGTGCTGAGAGTCCCTGGGTTTTATAATATATATATAAGAGGGATATGACATCGAAGCTTCACCCAAGTGCCAATAAAAGAAGCCTTGACAGCCATCCAAAACAAATACAACCCCCCCAAGCACATCCTAGATCTGACCAACCACTGCCTATCCAATACATACTTCACCTACAATGGACAAAAATACAAACAAATAGAAGGAGCACCCATGGGATCACCCCTCTCACCTGTCATCGCAAACCTCTACATGGAACATTTTGAAACACAAGCTCTGGAAAAATACGAACACAAACCCAAACTCTGGCTCAGATACGTAGATGACACCTTCATAATCTGGCCACATGGGAAAGAAAAACTGAACAACTTCCTCACACACCTCAACAGCCTACACCCCAAAATACAATTCACCATGGAAACAGAAGCCAACAACCAACTTCCCTTCCTAGATGTCTTGGTATACAAAAGATCCAATGGCTCCCTAGGACACACCATCTACCAGAAGAAAACACATACTAACCGCTATCTACATGCACTCTCACACCACCACCCAGCACAGATCAATTCCGTAGCCAAGACACTCATCTCCAGAACAAAATGCTTAGCCGATGAACAACACCAAAAAACCGAACTACACACTCTCACCAACGTACTTACAGCCAATGGATTCCAAAGAAAGAAGATTACCCACCTAATCCAAAAAGAAACCCCAACCAAAATCCAAGACAGAGAACAAGAAAACGGCAAAGCCCTCCTCCCATATATAAAAGGCACTACAGACAAAATTAGCAAGATCCTCCAAAAACACAACATCAAAACAGCATTCTGCACAAACAGAAAAATATCCACCATCCTAAGAAACCCCAAAGACAAAATCGAATTAGAAAACCAAGGAGTATACGAAATCCCCTGCACTGCCTGCCCTACCACATACATTGGACAAACTAACAGAAGAATAAGTGCACGCATTGAAGAACATAAGAACTCAATCAAAAAAGAAGAAACGACCTCTTCCCTGGTCCAACACCTCAAAGCCACAGGACATGAAATTGATTTTAAAAATACCAGAACCATCGCCAAAACCGAACACTTCAACAGCAGAATAATCAGAGAAGCCATAGAGATAGAAAAACGCCCACACAGCATGAACAAACGAGATGACACCTCCCGCCTTCCAGCCATTTGGAAACCCGCCCTCATGAACAGACGAGTACCTAACATGAAGAAGGACACCAGACCCACACCCATGAGAGCCACACAAGATGCCACCACCACACTTCCATGTAGAAAACAGACTCACACCCACTCAGAAGATGAGACACGACCATGGACCAGAAGCTGCACTGCAGCTGCATCACTACCCACTTCAAACCCCTCCGAGACATACATGAAGCAAACCGACACCCACTATGATGATGCAGCACGACCACGAACTCGAAGCCAAACAGCAAGATCACAACTCACCAGCTCAAATCCCCCAGCAACTAAGACTAACCTGAGCACAACCAAGCCCCCACCTGAACAGAACACGCCTCCAACCAATCAGAACACGGCTAACCCCCCAACCAATCAGAACACAGCCAAACCCCCTACCAATGAGAACACACCCCCACCCAATCAGAACACAGCCAAGCCCCCACCCAATCAAGTCCCACCCCCACTGGCAGTTAAAAGGAGGAAGCAGCTGCAATCTCACATTACTCTGAAAAGCACAGAGCCGGAGACAGAAGCCTGAAGATGATGAATGAGACTTCATCGAAACGTTGCCTAGATACTCCGAATCTTACGCGGGAGAAAACCCGAACAACCAAAGATCCACATACAAATACCCGTGAGAACCTCAGAAAACATATATATATAAAGTTTTTTTAAGTTTTCGAGGGTACTTACATGTATGGCATTCAGCTTTGTTTGGGTATTTTCCCACGTCATTGTAGTTGTGCTTTTAAAGTTGTAGCAATGTTTCGGCAGAATCTCATCTGCCATCATCAGGCTTCTATAATAGTGTTCATCTATATATATTAATATATATATTTGTTTTCTGAGGTTAATATAGAGGATATATATATAGAGTTAATATAGAGTTAATATCTTAATATATATATTTATATATATTTTTTCTAGTGTTGTGCAAATACAATTCTCGCTAATTTTACAAAATGTAAAATTAAATATACATTCCCTTTGTCATATTTTTTCTGGCAATATACCTAACAGAAATATTTCTGGCTTTAAATCTATAGGTTGCGTTATCATTTTCTCTAACCATGGATGTATGTATGTATGTAACCAAGCGTGTGAATTTTGATCAGGTGGGGACCACGGGGATATGACATGAAAAGTGTGAAAAATGGTCACCAATCTTATTTTTTTCAGTGCCGTCGTTAACTTCAGACGGTCACTAAACGAATTGCAAGTCAAAGACAATCTGTAGCCCTATTTTTTTTTTTTAAAAAAAGCAATTTTCAATTTTATGTCGCTTCTGCACTGCAACCCCAGTCGGAACCCAAATATTTGTTTGCTTTATTACAAGTCCTGCCAAAAATTACATCCCCAACTTTCCTCGGAGAAATCTTGGTATTCATTTTTGACAATTGCTCAGGTGCCAAGGACCAAAGATGCACCAATTTTATAGATGTTTTCTTTCAGTTTCTAACTCAGGGTCAATGTTAAGCGGTGTGTCTATCTATTTTCCCACGGCTCAAGCCTTATATTGTACCCAAAGTTTCTTGCAATTTCACTATGTTAAGTTTCTCATATCCTGCTTGGGGAGGGGGCTTTTTGGGATGGCTTTCCCCCGTTAAGGAAGTTTTAGGAAGGGGGAAATATTGACCCCCAAAGCAAAAGTCTTTCTCCCAGTGGGGGGGCAAGCTATACAGAGGGAGGAAGGGGAGATCACCTCGGAAGACCCGTTTCCTAAGTCCAGGGAGTCCCGCAGAAGTGAGAAGTTCATTTTCCTTTGAGTTGCTAATTCCAGAATAGAGGAATGCAGCTCCCTCCTCCACCTGGTGGGAAGGACCGGTTGGGTCTGCCCTAGATCAGAAAGTTGAGGCTGGAAGGGACCCTGGAGGTCTTCTACTCCAACCCCCTGCCCAAGGCAGGAGGCTTTGCATCATCTGGGTTGAAAAGGTCTACTCTGGAAAACCTCCAGTGATGGAGCATCCACGGCTTCTTGAGGGGAGTCGTTTAATTGATGATTTGTTCTCACTGTTTTGAAATTTCTCCTTAGTTTTAGGTAGGATCATCCCTCTGGGGAGCTTACACCTGTTGCCTTCCCTTCCTTCCTTCCTTCCTTCCTTCCTTCCTTCCTTCCTTCCTTCCTTCCTCCCTCCCTCCCTCCCTCCCTCCCTCCCTCTCTCTCTCTCAGGGGTGTCCCATTCCTAAGTGTGGGGCCGCTGCCTTCTCCCTCCTTTCCCCCCAGAGTTCTTTGACATTGGAGGCAGCAAATGCGACCGGCTCTTTTCCTTGGTCGATCTGGACGGATGCGCCACCGCCATGGACTACTGGTAGGTCTGGCTGTGGGATGGGAGATTGGAAGGCCCGGCTAGGTGACCTCCCCCTGCTGGGGGCATCTGTGGACCCAGAGGAGCCCTGGCTCAAGAACCACCCAGAGCCACATCAAATGCTTCTCTCACGTGGCTTTCCCTGTCAGTGTGGGTGGGAATCGGTGGACGGGGGGTGTTGGTCCCACCCACACTGACAAGGCAAGCCGTTCTTCCTAGGCTGGACTAGATGATCCCTGAGGTCCCTTTCAACTCCGCGATTCCAGAATTGTGGTTGAAGATCTTTCACTGATAATGTGACCTAGTTGGGCAGGAAACATCTGCAAGAAGATAGCCAAGTTCAGAGAACCTCAAGGAACCCAGTGTTCTCCTCCTCCTCCTCCTCCTCCTCCTCCTCCTCCTCCTCCTCCCTTTCCTCTCCTCCTCCTCAAATGCCACTCCCTACTAGCACTGATGATGTTCCCTAGTCAGGCCATGAAACATCTGCACGAAATCAACTAAGCTCAGAGAGCACCAAGACCTCATAGCGCTCCTCCTCCTCCTCCTCCTCCTCCTCCTCCTCCTCCTCCTCCTCCTCGCTTCTCACTCCTTTCCAGCCCTGATGACAGTACCTTGGTTGCTAATGAAATGTCTTCAAGGAAATGCCCAAGCGCAGAGGGCCCCAAGGACCCCCATAGGGGTCTCCCGCAGGCTGCCCACCAATTGGCCAGTCTCCCTCATGCCTTTGCCAGTCTGGGTGCCCGTAGCCCTAACCTCTTTCTCGCTCCTTCCTGTTTGAACTAGGACAGATGGGTGCAAAGGGGTTTTCTGCGTCGGAGACCTGAAGGGCAACGTCCTGATTTTCACCTCCACCGATGTGGTCACCAACGGCCTCTTCAACATCCGTAGCTTCATAGGTGAGACGCCAGACGGCAGCAGGGAGGGAGGGAGGGACGGACCTGGGACCTGGATTGAAGGGCTCCCCCTGGGTGGGGCTGGCACGCAGGACCAGAAAACTAAACTCTTCACACCTAAAGACTAAAGCTACCTTCACAGGCCGTCCTTGACTTACACGGATTCACTGAGTGGCCATTCAAAGTTACTGTTCTGACCTAGACCTTCCCAAGATCATGAAGCCGAACTCCTCGTCCCTGATAAAACCCCTTTTTATTTAGGTTCAAGGGAATTTCTCTCCAGCAAAGTCCCGGCCAACGGTCTTTCAAGAGATTTCACAACCACAGACCTTGATCAGGCTTGGAGAGTTGCCAGGCTGATAGCTCCCAAACGCCACGCTGTAGCAGCAATGACTTGGCAAGGAGTCAGGAAGAGATCTTCACCCTCATGAATTGAATGAATTGTCTCCTGCAAACCCCACTCCCCTTTCACTCCTCTTTTATTCCCTTTGGAAGGGGTCATTTACCGTCCACCTGAGCCTTTACTCACTCCCCTTGTTCCTTAGCTGTTCCCTTCATCTGGCAGCTCTGTGCATGCGCACACTGGGAACAGGCTCCAGCTGTTCTTCTTCCCCACTGATCTCCAACTCCAATGATAACTGTTGGACGGCCCTGGCACCATCTCTGCCTTCCGTGCAGAGTATCCATCAGAGCCGTCCTCAACCTCCAGGACTGGCCCGTGGTCCTCCCCAACCTCCTCTCTGGCTGAATCTTCTGCCAGCTCCACTGTCCGCTGTTGAGTCACAACAACTGGTAGTGAGTGCAAACCTGACCCTTTGAGCACTGATGATGTTACCTAGTTGGGCAACAAATATCTGTCTGTCAACCTTAGAAAACACCACAGTCCTCCTCCCTCCAAACCCCCTCCCCCTTTCGCTCCTCTTTATTCCCTCTGGGAGGGGCCATTCACTGTCCATCTGTGGCTTTGCTCCCGAGTCAACTCTTGTTCCTCAGCCATTCCCTTCATCTGGCAGCTCTGTGCATGAGCACACTGGGAACAGGCTCCAGCTGTTCTTCTTCCCCACTGATCTCTGATTCCGAAGACAGCTGATAACTGTCAGGTGGCCCTGGCCACATCTCTGCCTCCGATGCAGAGCCCTCGTCCGAGCCTTCCCCAGACTCCAGGACTGGCCGAGGTTCCTCCCCACTGCCGAGTCTGCCACCAGCTCCGCTGGCCGCTGGCGAGCCACAACAGTTACAACGGCACTCAAAATAGCGACTTATGACCATTTTGCACACTTACGACCATTGCGGCATTCCTGTGGTCACTTGAACAAAATTCAAACGCTTGGCAACTGGCACGGACTCATGACAGTGAGAGTGTCCCAGGGTCACGCAATCCCCTTTTACGGCCTTCTGACCAGCAAAGTCAATGGGGAAGGAGGATTCGCTTAACAACCGGATGACTTGATTCTCTTAACAACGGGGGCAAGAAAGGTCGCGGAACGGGGAAAAACTCCCTTAACAAACATTTCGCTTAACGAGGGACCTGTCGGGCTCCATTGTAATCGTAAGCCGGCCTATATTTGGTGCTCTGGGATCAGCTCCCAGGCAGGCTGGACTAAGCCAATGCGGAACTGTTCGGAGTTGGAGAAGGTGGGATCTACTGGCTCACCAACGATTCCCGGTATCTCGTCCTCGCAGGAGGATTAGCCAGGGTGCCTGTCCATCTCCTGATGAAGGGAAAGACCCTCCTCTACCGGAATTTCACCGTATCGGTGAGTCTCTCTGTTTCTCTTTCTCTCTTTCTTTCTCTTTCTTTCTCTCTTTCTCTCTCTCTTTCTCTCTCTCTCCTCTCTTTCTT